TATAAGCTAATCTGTGATCTTTCATACCAATTTCTTTTTGTTTGCTGCGCAAATCTTCATTCATTAAAGAAGTCCTTATGAACTAACTCAAACATTTCATCTTGTAGGTACCTTCATGGCACGAGATGGACAACTTTAATCCACCCTTTATTCCAAATTGTCTTGCTGATTCATGCTAAGCAACTATGAAAACTTCTGAATGACCTATTTTTTATTTCTTATTTCTATTTGATGTGTATCTTTATTTCAGAAATCTAGATCATGAATGTGGATGGAAGCAAATCACTTAAATTGCAAAATAGAAAATGCATTATACAAAGTATACATGTTGCTTTGTACGACTAACAAGAGCCAAAATAGATGGGTGCAACAATGCCCGCCATGAATGATTAGTTACTGGTAGAAGCAACTTGGTTGTGAATCTAGCAACTACTCACTGTTTTGTAGCCAACTAAAAATGACCAAACACAAAAATCCTCTTCATCACAAACTAGTACTATGGGAAGACATATTCCTCTTCGTCACAACCAACCACACATTCATCTTAAGCACAGAGCTTGCCATCAAAAAGCATAAAACAGTGCTCCTAGATTCAATCAACCACGAAAAATCATCTTCCAAAAACAGTGCTACTGGATGTTGAAAAAAAAGGCAACTACTGCCCTATTTCGTTGCAACTGCGGAGGCGAATAAGTTCCATTGCCCCTCCCCTCTTGCAAATTTGATGAAAAAAGCAACTGCCATCGTATTGCTATACCACTGCCTCATGCGATTCAAGCAACTCCAAACAATTGAAACCACCCTGGTCGCGAGGGATTCGTTTAGAACGCATCATCACAAAACCTCCCTCCTTACCCTCCCCCTCCACCCCTTCAATTCAACTTATACCCCCGTCGTACCCCAAATCAAAACTATATATCTGCTCGACACACCCCGCCATGGCAACGCTGTGCCCGCGGACGCCATGGACAATCTCCGTGCTCGCCGACCTTCGCGCGACGGTGACACACCCTCGCCCTGCCCCGTCACCCAAACCCTAACCTCGCTGTGCCAAACCAAATCTGGAGTGCAACCGCGTGAAGAGGTGCCAGGATTTACCTTCGCCTATAGCCGACGACTCGCCGCGCCCATGGACGGACCCCCGCACCGGCGAATCCTGGCCGAATCCACAACCTAGCCCCCGCCCCGCGTCATTGCGAGAGAAAAATGGGAGAGGGAGCAGCGCCCGTACGGTTTGAAAATGGGGGAGCGAGGAACGGGAGTTCAAACAAATCGTGTGGGGCACTACGTGTGGTTTCCCCTAAAAATTAAGAGTACGGGTCGCACCACTCCACCGCGCGCCTCGCTCTCCCCCTTGTTGCCACCTGTGTCGGGACGACACGCACGGTCCGTCATGATCGGTCGTGATCTGTGCGATCCGATGGCTATGATGCGTGCGCTCGGAAGAGCCGATTGGTGCAGCTGCACTAATGACTACTCCCTCCATAAAGAAATATAACAGCAGTTAGATCATCAAAATAGTGATCTAAACACTTTTATAGTATTAGTTTAGAGAGGGAGTATTTGGGATTAAACAAACTAATCTCACTGCGCACGTTCGCTGGTAAAAAAACAAAAATAACCCGAAGCGACGAAATTATTCACACGCCCGGATTGCCTCCCCGCCACCACCACAAACGCTGGCCGGCTTCCCCACACTTGATAGTCGATACCGCATTTCGGTCGAGCACGATGGCCGCCCTTCTCCTCTCCTCTCGCCTCCCCACCAGCACGGCCACCGCCTCCATCGCAGCTCCCCGCCCCACACCGTGCTCCCTCTCCTGTCCCCTCACAGCCGCCAAGGCTTGCCGCCGCGGGGGCTGTATCCTCGCCTCCTCCGCGACGTCACCACCGAGGGCCTCCCCGGCCGCGGCCCAGCCTTTCCGTTCCCTGCCCCCCTCCGAGACCACCATCGTCGTCACGGGCGCCATGGGCTACATCGGCCGCTTTGTCGTCCGCGAGCTGCTCCGCCGCGGCCACCCCGTCGTCGCCGTCACCCGGCCCCGCAGCGGCATCCGCGGCAAAAACTCCCGTGAGGAGGTTGTCTCCGACCTCGCCCCCGCCCGCGTCGTCTTCTCCGATGTCACCGACCCAGGCGCCCTCCTCGCAGACCTCTCGGGATATTGTCCCATACACGCCGTGGTCTGCTGCCTCGCCAGCGGCGGCGGCGGGGTGCAGGACTCGTGGCGCGTGGACTACCGCGCCACGCTCCACACCCTCCAGGCCGCGCGCAGCCTCGGCGCCGCCCACTTCGTCTTCCTCTCCGCCGTCTGCGTAAAGAATCCGCTCCTCGAGTTCCAGCGCGCCAAGCTCAAGTTCGAGGACAAGCTCGCCGCCAAGGCGGCCCGGGACCCGGCCTTCACCTACAGCGTCGTCCGCCCCACCGCCTTCTTCAAGAGCCAGGGCGGCCAGGTCGAAACCGTCAAGAAGGGCAATCCCTACGTCATGTTTGGCGACGGAAAGTTCTGCGCTTGCAAGCCTATCTGCGAGGAGGATCTCGCCTCCTTCATCGCGGATTGCATCTTCGACCAGGAAAAGGCTAACAAGGTGCTTCCAATTGGAGGGACGGGGAAGGCCCTCACGCCGCTGGACCAAGGGGAGATGCTGTTCCGGCTGCCCGGGCGTGAACCCAGGTTCATCAAGGTGCCCATTCGGATCATGGATGGTGTCATCTGGGTGATCGATGGATTGGCCAAGGTGTTCCCGGGGCTGGAGGATGCCGCTGAGTTCGGCAAAATTGGGAGGTACTATGCGTCGGAGAGCACGCTAGTGCTCGATCCCGAGACCGGGGAGTACAGCGACGAGAAGACGCCGAGTTATGGCACAGACACGCTCGAGCAGTTCTTCGATTAGGTGATAAGGGAAGGAATGGCGGGGCAGGAGCTAGGCGAGCAGACCATCTTCTATGTCTTCCGGCTTGCAGATTCAGGGCCAAGAGTGGAGGGAGGTAAGTGAGACTTCTGAGTTTTGACACGTTTGTGTTTCCAACACAATTAGTAGCTCAAATGTAGTACATACAAGGCATTGTCTAATTTGAGGGTGGAGAATTGTGCTATATGAAATCATTTACTATAGATCAATTTTTTTGGACACCGCACACGTGTGGTGGTAGCGAAACCCGCCCACATGACCTATAATATACAGACTGTCACCGTATGCATGCATGTGAGATATTTTTTTGGATTTTTAATTTTTAAAATATTTTATCTCTTAAATGAAAAATCCGATTGAAAATCTGTTTTCACCATTAAATCTCTCACGATGAGATCTCCGAAACTAGAGCTCATATCAATATATTTCGACGAATTATTTTTTGGGTTAAAAGTTGTCATGTCTATTGCACATGAATTGTCATGGTGTTTACACTGAAATTGCCATGATATGTTTCAATTATTTTCTTTTACATTTAAAAGTAAATTTTTACACTTATAAAATGGGGAATTAAGAAACTAGACTTGCCATGAACCATAAACTAAAATTTCCATGATACATGCATTTAAAATTGCCATGGTTCATACAAAAAATAATTTTCATGGTTAAAGTATCGGAGTTGACATCATCAAAATACTAAAATTGCCATGCTATGCAAACTGAAATTGCCACATGACAACTTTAGTTTAAGCACTATGAAAACTAAAGTGTAAACATCATGTCAATTTTTGGGTAAAAAAATTTTCGTCGAAACATATCAACATGGTGTCTAGTTTTGAAGATCTCGTCGAGACTGATATAATGGTGAAAACAAATTTTTAATTCGATTTTTTAATTAGGAGATAAAATATTTTTAAGTCGAGAACCAAAAAATTTTCTATTGATATCATCTGTTCACATGTGGCAAAATGAGTGGTAAAAGAGGCATGTGGACGATGTGCAAGATGCCACACGTGTTGGCATTAGTTTTTCCTTTTTTTTAATTTTTTTAAAAAGGAGGTTGAAATCCGTGGCCTATGCAGGTGCACACAACCAACTTTTATTGTAGGTGATGCAAGGTAACAAAGTCAAAAACATCAACAAACAAAGTAACGAAACATGGCTAACCACGGGCAAACCATTACAAGATATGAATCTAGATCAACTTCTTTCGTAACACAGCCACCATCGCATGTCATCACTGCCACTGCTACTACAAATGCGCGGCTATGCCTGCAGAAGTATCTTCGTGTCTGGACCTGCAACCCTTGAGCTTGACCTCTATGTTGCGGACATTGCGGAATGCTGGCGTCCTCGTAGTGATCAACGGTGCCCATCGCCGCCGCTCTGTCTTTCACAAGATAGATCTGGATGCCGCAGCCCGTGTCGTTGCGTCGTCATGACTCCCCACCATTCACGTGCATAAGTACCAGTCATGGTTTCGATTACTAGGCGTTAAATTCGGTTAAACTATAGTTCAAAGTATACAGGTGGAAATATTTGAATTCAAAATTTGATTTTAAATTTCATCAAAATTTTGATCCATGTTTTTCACTTACGGCGGCAACCGAGTATTTCGGTGCCCCACAAGAAAAAAAAGTCTATGTACGAAATAAAAAAAACCTTGGTATCAGTGCCCTAGTCTTGCTGGCCATTGCTAGGAAGATGTCTTCAGCAGGCCCACCAGCACCGTCGCGCAAAAGCCGGGTATGCCCTTTGGCAAATTCCGACACCTCCGTGATCGTCATCTCGTTTTTGCAAATCATTAAGAGCAACTCCAACGCGTCGACTCAAACGGACAGTGCATTTGTTCGCTTTTTATCGTTTTTTCTTGGCCGCCCGCTCGGTGTCCGCCCTCTTTTTGATTTGGGTCGGCTTTGCGCCCAACGGGCCGACCCATATTTGCCGGCGTGGCCGGCTAGCCTCCATTTTCAATAAACACTTTGCATATTTCACAAGCAAATATATAGTTTCACAAGGAAATAAAAGCATAGTTTCCAATCTTTTCAAGGGCATCCTCTTTGCACTTGAAATACTCATCGTATCCGACCACCCCCTCTCTAATACGGTGGAAATGATGCCTACTCATATGGAAATGTCGCCGGAATTTCTGATGTTTGAACAGCGGGCTGGTTGTGTCAAAGTAGTCCTTCCAAATAAGGAAATGCCCGCACTCTCGGTTGCAATTCAACATCGGAAGGTGCCACAGAATGGAGCCACGGAACAACGGCTGCTGTCTATTAAGGTCGTGATGGACCAACATGGCAGCCAAGATCTCCTTCTCATCATCGGACGAGGAATTGTCAGAATCGCAAAGGAAATTATAGAAAATGAACTCGTCGGCGGAGTGCATTTTGTACCTTGGCAAACTGTCAAACAACTTACGGGTATCGACAAAGGAGCCGGCCGACGAAGGGGCGCGCACCGCCCTTGGACTAGCTGGCTGCCCTGGCGGTGTTCGACGAGCGTGCCGGTGCCAGGGCGAAGGAGTTGTCCGGGGCGGCGAGGCGGCTTCCTCGTCGCGGTGGTGTCGAGGAGGTAGGGGTGGGAAGCTTTCGGAGCCCAGCGGCGGGACGGCGGTGGCGGCGTTGGGGGGAGGGGATGTTGCGGCACCGACTACTAGCAGAGGCACCGAAAAATGGGCAGCAGCGGCGTCGATGAAGGAGGCGGGCGAGGGTTTGCTGTTGGAATGGGAAAGGATGGCCAATGTGCCACCGACTAGCGGGCCAGGGGGAGGATTAGGCAGGCGTTGCGCGCGTTAGTTTTGTGTCTGCGCCGGCACAAATGGGGCTCAAATTTGGGTCGGGAATTGGTCGGCAGGCAGACAAAAAGCGGACGCGTGTCTGTTTCATTCGGTGCTTTGTGCCGACTTTTCTATCCATGCTGACCCAAATGGATGCGCGTGGACGAAATGGGTTGCCGAGTTGGAGTTGCTCTAAGGGTAGTGTCGGTGTCAAAACCGGCGGATCTCGGGTAGGGGGTCCCGAACTATGCGTCTAAGCCGGATGGTAACAGGAGGCAAGGGACACGAAGTTTTACCCAGGTTCGGGCCCTCTCGATGGAGGTAAAACCCTACGTCCTGCTTGATTAATATTGATGATATGGGTAGTACAAGAGTAGATCTACCACGAGATCGAAGAGGCTAAACCCTAGAAGCTAGCCTATGGTATGATTGTTGTTGTGTATGTCGTCCTATGGACTAAAACCCTCCGGTTTATATAGACACCGGAGAGGGTTAGGGTTACACAAAGTCGGTTACAATGGTAGGAGATCTACATATCCGTATCGCCAAGCTTGCCTTCCACGCCAAGAAAAGTCCCTTCCGGACACGGGACGGAGTCTTTAATCTTGTATCTTCATAGTCCAGGAGTCCGGCTGAAGGTATAGTCCGGCTATCCGAACACCCCCTAATCCAGGACTCCCTCAGTAGCCCCTGAACCAGGCTTCAATGACGACGAGTCCGGCGCGCAGATTGTCTTCGGCATTGCAAGGCGGGTTCCTCCTCCAAGTACTTCATAGAAGATTTTAAACACAAAGATAGTGTCCGGCTCTGCAAAATAAGTTTCCATATATTGCCATAGAGAGAATAATATTTACACCAATCTAATCTGCTGACGTATTCCGTAGCGTGACCCACCACAGCCAAGCCTTTATCCGAGTCGTTTCATTATCCCACCTCAGCGCGTCATGCGAGGCGGTTTCCTTGGCATGCCTTGTTAAAGCAGAGATCGTGTCCCCTTATCCCGGGATTCTCATCAATACGGGCGTGGATAACCCAACCGCGCCATTGATTATGGCGCTTGGAGATAAGCGAGTTTTACCAGGTCGGTGGGGACATATAGTTGCGTCCACCCATATAAGGGGATAAGGATCCACCTTTTCACCTATGCCTTCTTCCTCCTTTGCCTATCCATTCTTGCGCACTCGAGCTCCAGCGCCCAAGTCCGCACTCCCCACCTCAACCTTCTCCAGCCATGTCCGGAGCGGGAGGCAAATGGATGGTCTCCTCCGTCACGGAGGGACACATCAAAAAGCTGAGGAAGGCCGGATACCTGTCTAACGACATCGTGTACCGGCTTCCCGAAAAGGGGCAGCTCATCCCCACCCCTAGGCCCCATGAGAGGGTGGTGTTCCTCCCCCATTTCCTCCGCGGACTGGGCTTCCCTCTCCACCCATTTGTCCGGGGGCTCATGTTCTACTACGGCCTGGATTTCCACGATCTGGCCCCGAGCTTTATCCTCAACATCTCGGCGTTTATCGTCATGTGCGAGGCTTTCCTCCGCATCCGCCCCCATTTCGGCCTATGGCTCAAGACTTTCAATGTCAAGCTGAAGGTGGTGCGCGGCAACCAGGCGGAGTGCGGAGGCGCTATGGTGGGCAAGATGGCCAATGTCTTATGGCTCGAGGGCTCCTTCGTGGAGACCCTGAAGGGGTGGCAATCGGGGTGGTTTTACATCACCGAGCCGCGCGACCCCGAATGGGTCGCAGCCCCCGTGTTTCGATCCGGACGCCCTACGCGGCTCACTAAAAGTGCAACTATCCCTAGGTGGTTTTGGTAATTCATAACAACATATAGCTCATTGAGCTAATGCTATTCCAAGATGACTATTTCAGGAAAGCTCAATGATTGGCATGGCATGGATGTGAAAGTGGAACCCTCAAAATGCTAAGGACAAAGGATTGGCTCAAGCTCAAAAGCTCAAGACTCTTCATTTTATATTTTAGTGATCCAAGATCACGTTGAGTCTTTAGGAAAAGCCAATACTATCAAGGAGGGATGAGGTGTTGCTTAATGAGCCTCTTGCTTCATGTGCTTAGTGATATGCTTCAAAACCCTCAACTACTTTCCCATATCCACATATGACCTAAACCCTAAGCCAAACTCGGTCCTAGCGATTCTTTCTATCCGGCGCCACCGAGTTTCACTTGTCATAAGCCACTGC